ACCCTCTAAATAACATGTTGTTTCTATACCACAAGCCTCGTTGAGGTACGACAGACTGCGTGCAGCAGCTCACTTGCTCTAACTGAGCTCAACTGCTCTTTCAGGCACAAGCTAGTGTTTAGCAAATGGCTATCAATGTGAGAGGGATAACACAGGGCTTTGCCTTTTCTTGCTGGCACCAAAGACAGCAGCCACACTGGCAACCTGAAGCAAGTAGACACTGTGTCCTACCATCCATTCCTGTTTCTATTCCTGTGAAGAAAAATTAGCTTCCTCACTTAAGACATAAATGACAATATCACCCATATAGATGGGGGCAAAAGTCTGTGTGGTATGTAAGTAAATACAACATTTACACTGGTTATTTTTTCTGGCAATTTTTCAAATAAAAACTATTCAGCAAGAGATACCTCCGAGCATATATGCTAGTAATTTAGGGTAAAATACAGGGCAGGGTAATCATAATCATCATCATCAAAACAAGGTATAAACTTTAAAAAGTATAAACTTATTTATACCCACCCTCCCACACATTTCTTTGAGCAACTGAAGTTAGAGATCTAATAACAAGGTCACCACTGCACATTTTATAGCGTTTTTAGGTGCTCCAACATATTATGGACTTCTCCCAAATCCAACTCTTGTAGAAGCATAAGAATGCTCTACCAGATTAGCAAAGTCCGCCTAGTCTATTATCCTGTACCCAACAATGGCTAGTCCAGATGCTGCAGAAGGATGTCTTAAGAACTCTACAATTGATATCCCTGGAATTAAATCTGCCTTTTACTAGAATCTGCCTTCTTCCAACACATTTTATCCTAAAGCTGAGTCATGAGATTTAATAACCCTGCCAAAATTAGTGGTATGTTTAATTATAATAACTGTGTGTTCAAGGTATCATTAGGAACATCCAGCTCTTTTCTGAATCTTGCTAAACTGTAGGCCTTTCCAAAAGGGTAACAGAGCAGGTTGGCACCTGGAGCATAGAGGCACACTGCACAATGGGGGCTCCTGGGTGCCAACGTTGGAGTTGCAGACAGCCAACAGCCAGCCGTGGTATTTTTCCAGACCCTGCTAAGCCAGCGCCATGGGGCTGTCACCCTGGTTGCCCCACCTTAGTTACATTATTGGGCCTTACTTAAGGCAATATGGAAAATGAAGCACAAAATGATAAATGATAGTTACCCAAACTTACATAGCAGATTAACCAGAAAGAAGCTTTGCATTTCATGCTTTCTAGTTCAGCATCTTATCCAGATGCTGGTATCCAAGGTTATGATCCTCCAAACATTTATGCACATATGCAAGCTTTCAGCACTTTACTAGACTTACAGAAATTAAAGAAACTATTCATATGCTGAGAAAAGAAGGGGAACTGAGTGTCAGTGAGCAGGAAAAACAGGTTTAAATTTTTACATGTAATCCTACCCCTCCTGTCCTATACCTGAAATCAATCAAATGCAACAAAACAATTGTTTTCCTACAAAAGAAGAATAGCAGCAGAAAAACAATTACGGATGAGCAACCTTATTGGAAAGTGTAACACGTGTATGCATGCACAATGGAAGATTTTCAGTAAGGACAATTTCTGGCTATCAAGAATGATTTAAACACAAGGGATTTAACAACAACAACAACAACAACAAAATCAAACAAACCAGAAAAAACAAAAAAGCCAAAAGAACAAAAACAACAAACAAAAATAAAAGCTTTTTAATACTTTATTAGAAAAATCCTTTATTAAACAAATTTCCCACATATCACTGAATTCAATCTAAAAACTGTCTAACTGTACCAGCAACTCTGCTGAGAAGATATTAAGTAACTGCCACCAGACTTTATCACCTGGTTAACCACTGAGGTGACAACTACATTTAGCTTCCATAATTTGCAGCTGAAAGCTATTCAGAATAATTTATGGATACAGTTTCCCTTCTAGGGATGTGGCTCACTTTATTTTTCCTCCACTTTAAAGTGGCCTGGTTTTAGTATGAGAATTATTTATTTAAAATACAAGACAAATGCTGTAAGCCATTACATAGATTCATGCCATGAAATAACAAGAAAGCCCCCTTACATATATCTCTACTTACACGTAAATCACATAGCCACAGCAACATATTTATCCAGGCACCATGGCAGCCAACAATATCCACAACTACTTAAGCTTCATTAGTGTTCAATACTGAGAGTTACATGACCCAGAGCAAATGGAAAGGTGACAGGAAACACAATCTTTCCTGAAGCAGGAGCCTGCGACTCAATGATGAAAGATTAATCAGGGTTTACTTTGATAGGATTAGTACTCAGGCACAAAACTGGTTCAGATCTCATTACTGAAGCGCATAGTCTTCATCTTAATAGATCCTTCCTTATTACAGGTGCACACACACCTCTCCTTATTACCAATATACAAGACAGACAGAAAAGGGGGAAATTTAAAATGATTTGGCAAGGATGATTTTTCTCTTTAGAGGCTGGCCTAAGCTTTGGAGCAGTTGGGTGTTCCTGACAGATTTATAAAATGCAGAAGTGTATATTCATATACAGTAATTTGTAACCATTTTGAGTTTAAATCTCCTCCACTCCCTTCATTTGGCCCCTTTTCTAGACTATAACTCTTTATGGCAAGGACCATATTTGTCTATGGGCTTTTCAGTGCCTAGCACAGTGGAGTTTTTATATTAGTCTGACATCTTACCAAGGACCGCAAGACAAAATGTCAAAACTGCCAACGTTAAATGTTAACATGCATCTCAATGCTCATGGTTTGCAATAGAACAGGGCAGCTCAAACCTGGAGTGCAAGTTGCCGGCTCAGCAGCACCAAGGATGGATATTTTCAGTGGTTTCACGGCAGCTAATGTGGGTAGCAACCGATGAAGGAGGACTAACAAACAAACAAAAGGAGAGGAGAGATACACCTCTATATTTATTTGATGGTACTCTTATGCTGGGCAAATGGTCTGGAATTATTTGAAATCAGAGGCTAAATTAGGGGACAGTGTGCTTCCATGGCCAGGATGCAGCTCTGTGGATTGTGATCATGTTGGAAGCTTGCATTTATCCTTTCCAACTTCCTGCATAATTTGCCTATACAAGCTCAGACAGTTCAGGCTTCAACCAAGCGAGTGGAATTATTTTTCTCTTCTGATGATGGTATCAAGTGATATATATAGCTCTGTAGAGGTTTCTTTCTAACAGAGTAAATTATATCCACCAGTGTATAAGCTCTATAATTTAGCTGAAAATAGCAGCCAATATAAGTGTCACTGTCCCGTATGAATTTGAATCATTCATAAAAAGTAGAGGTGCACTGATACATCAGTCCCATATCTCACCAGCACTGATATAAGGAAAATTGACAGTGTTGGCAATCGGCTTTTTTAGGCTAATGTGTCCGATAATGTCACTGATAAATGCCCCATGCATGCGCGCAGCTGCAGCACAACATGTAGGCAGCCAGAAGCGCAGCCTGGCAGCATGGAGACCGGCCGGCTCTGGCTGGTAAGTCTGTTGTGATAGGAGGGAATGGGCGATGCGGGGGGTGGGAATGAGGCTCCAGCAGTGAGCAAGGGAATGCTTTCCTGCCAAAATATTAATTCAACAGCATAACATGATAAGAACCCACACTCTAGGATGCAACTACCCATCAGATTCCATTATACACAAGTTTAAAAATGAGTTGCATGTGGCGTGTCAATTTTGTTAACTTGGTTCTTTAAAAGCAGAGAGTTTCTGCAAAAAAAAGTGTTGACTTGACTTTAATGCTCAGAGGAATTATCTTTGGTTAAAAAAAATGGCAAAAAAAAAAAATCAATCTACACTTGCACCTTATTGTGGAGATTTTCTTTCCAATTTTTATTGTTTATAGTTCCACAGCTTACTACATATTTTTAAAATGACGTACTTTATAAATCTGCCAAACAGTATAACATGGTGTTGCCCCCCTTACTTAACAATGCTTCTCTAATACTGCCTTACCAGATGTTAGTTAAAATTGTCACTTGTCTATAAACTGTAAATTTATAATGAAACCAAATTCTGTGGACACATTTCATGGAAATACCACTTCAGTTCTCTGGACACATCAAAACAACATGGCTGTTCTGACAGAGGGGAGAAGGCTAAATTAAATCCAGCAGTAGCTACAACAAGGTGTTATAACATCATCAAGAACTCTTAATTTTGTTTTTCAACATAAGGTCTTCCTTAGAGAGGCACAGAGGTGGAAGAAAGCAAGAGACTGTACTTGATGATCCAGGTAGGCTTTTGCAGGCATTGCGTTATACAAGCCATTTCATAGCCTGTCGACTGTTCCCGAAAAGTAGTTTGGTTTTTTGTCCTTACTATTCCAGTTGGAAACTCTTGTGTGCAGATGCATATGTTTTCCTATATTTGCCTAGAGTCTACCTCCCCCAAGCTGAATAATGTTTCTTGAACAGACATTTGAGTAAGTATATTCACTGACATACCACTACCAAATCATTTATGAGAACTCACAGTACATTATTATTTTTGTAATGACATACACGCAGACACTGGCCACAAAGTTTGCATTTAATTAACTTGTACAAATGTTGCACTCTGCTTCCAGTCATTCATGATGTACAAAAATTAAATTGTCACTCTGTTATGAGTTTAATTTTTTCTAAGGGTTCTTTTTGTGGATATACTGAACCTGACAGTAAAAACTAAATTTAATTTGCATTGGACAGTGACTCGCAAATTCTACCACATATCCTCGTACACATCCTCTAATTGACATATAAACACTTACTTGCATCTTCCAGGCCATGAAAAAAAAAAGGTTTTAAAGATACTGCCTTTGAAACAAGATTTCGCCATTTCCTCAAGAAACCTTTGGGAAAAAGCAACCAGTGCTAGAGAAAAATCTTTCATAGACTACTTCAACTGCACTAGGGGCAGTTTAGAAACACCCCCACCCCAGAGTTGTCACTTCTCTTTTTTTTTTGTTAAACAAGAAACCTCAGCACTTACATCTGGAATGAAGCCAATTTCATTGAGATGGTTACTCAGCTCTGGGTCATGGAACGCAATCATCTGGGAAAACACTGTCAGGTACTCTGAAATGAAACAAACGTTTCAGATCATTGCCAGACCAAGAACCCCCAGCACCACTGCAGCTCCATGCTGTTAAAAATCAAACAATGAGTAGATACAGGGCATGAATACAGATTCTGAAGCCTGCTCTATTCTTTACAGCAGTGGATGTCAATGAGGGTGCCGTAACCCCCTTTCAAGTGCATCATAGCACTGGCACGCCTCAAACCACAGCCAGGTGAAACTGCTCCACTCACATTATATAGGGCCCGACTAGGAAGCAGCTGCAGCAGATGCTCTTGCCTGTATTAGGTTTATCTGAGAAACCTAATGCAGGCAAGAGTACTTGCTTTTGCTGTCACCCTTCCTGGTTCAGCCCTGCATGCTTCTCCTGGAAACAGAGGGGTGCAGGATAGGTCCACTTAGTGGCAATGGCAGCAGCCAGCACAAACACAGATAAATCACCAGGCTGCCACCAAGTGGACCTATCCCATACACCTCTGTTTCCAAGAGGACAGTTTCATTAGGTTGTGGCCACAGCACAGTAGTTGAAAACCAGTGAAGTAAGCTGAGGCAACCCAACAGTGGTTCTCAATTAGGGACTACTAAATTCAGAAAAGTTAGAGTGGCTTGGATCCAAGAAGGTTGAGAACGATTGCTTTATATGAAGAATGTCTCCTTATTAGATCAAACTTTTAGCATTTAAGTACTTTACAAACCAAAATTGGCTTTTTCTTCCTTTGCTTGCTCATAGTTCTTAATTTGCATCTTGATTAGCAACCTCCAACTTCTATTGTCTCACAGCACTGGCACGCCTCAAACCACAACCAGGTGAAACTGCTCCACCCACATTATATAGGGCTCGACTAGGAAGCAGCTGCAGCAGATGCTCTTGCCTGTATTAGGCATGTCTCCAAAAAGTACAGTTTCCTGTACTTTTTTTCCCCCACACTCCACAGCAACAAAACTAAATGGAACGATCTATACCTCACTTGCAAAAAAAAACTACACAAAGTTGAAATAATTCATGTAAAATAGGCTTTTGACATACAGTTAAGCTATAAATTACTGAAAGAAACTTGTTCTAGAAAATTACTTGTACTGAAGAAATCCAAAGATATCACAATCCCAAAAGTATCTGCTACAAAGAGAACCTATTTATACCATACTGCTAATTTAAATATTAAAGTTTTTCTCGTCTGTATTCTTCATTGTCCTCTTGGAGGAGAAGAAAAGAATGCTTTCTTATCTTTTCTGCAATAATATGTCTCCGCTTTCACACACCAGCCTGAATGGGATAGTTTAACTTAACTGCCTTCACCACAATTCATTTTTAACTTGCGAACGGGCAGGATGAGGCATGCAGCCCTCAAGTGTTTTATATCACCACTCTCCCATTCCCTTGTCCCCTATACTTTCATATGATTCCTTAGAATCAGGACTAAGAGGCATTTCTCCTGTGGTTTCATGACGGGTTACATCTCTTTCCCCTCCTCTCCCTGTCAAAGCTCACACATCCCAAACCAAGGATTCCTGTTGCCCAGTACAGCCTACCCCTGTCCCAGTTGCTTAGCCTCAGCTTCTTACTCCCAACAGATCAGTGGAGCCTTGAACACTGGCTTCTTAAGTGAATGGCTAATGTAGTTCCAACATGTTACAAAATCTTGAAAGTGCCCCTTCCTTAATTAGGGCCTTTCTTCACTGCTACTTTAGGATTTACCTGTATATGGAATCATTCAGGCAGTATTAAATCTTCCGTAATATCTCTAGCTATAAACATTTATTTCAGAGAAAGAATGTAGTCACACACAATTGTCCAGGAATAGCTATAGCACTTTAAAATTTATGCCTGCCTTTAATCCAGATTATTTTTTCAATTGTAGACAAGCTCTTGCCCCCATTATCTAAATTTCAGTGAAGACCATTTGAATTTGCCTAGCAAAATGAGTGATTACTAGGCTGTGTGAAGCTTCGGTCACGGATTCGATTCGGAGGAGATTCGGCCCGATTCATTGGCCAAATCACCAAATCCGAATCGAATCAGGAGTCCCATTAATCTCTCCGAATCAAAATGGAAGCCTCCAATTTGATTCGGAGAGATTTGAGCATTTGGACAGGAACACAGCTTTATATATTTCTTCTACATACTGCAAGGTACCAGGTGGCTTGTGAATGCTGAGATGGTGGGGCAGATGGAGCATCCCACAGGAGCTTTGGGGGGGCGCAAAGGGGTCTCCAGCACACTTGGCGGCGGACCCAGAATTGGACCAGAAGCACTTCTGGTCCGCTTCAAGGTCTGCCACGAAGCACGCGGGGGACCCACCCCCTGGCTTGGCAACTGGGTGGGTACCCGGGGTCCCTCCGTGGCTAAATCACTGAGCTGCGGGGGCGTGGGGGGATTCCCTGTGTTCCTGTGGGGCGCTCCATCCACCTCACCATCTCAGCGCTCATAATCTGTGCCTGGTACCTCGAAGTATGTAGAAAAAACATTTAAAGCTGTGTCTATGACCAAAATCGCTGATTCTCCAAATCGGAATCGAATCTTCAGATTCAGATTTGGCCGAATCGAATCAGGACACTGATCTGAATCAGCAAATCAAATCATTGTCCCCTGAAATCATAGGCTGAAATCCAAATCGAATACAGCCCACTTCGCACATTCCTAGTGATTACTATGCTTGAATGAGAAGACCAGTCCTATATGCTGTTCTTAAAAAAAAAAAAAAAAAAAAAGTGCAATTTTACAGCAGGATAACTATGCACACACACAATTGAAATGAAAATTTAAGTTTCACTGTGAGTTCAAATCAGATAAGGCAGAGGTATAGGTGGTGAACTCTCCTAGCTACACCGCAGTAAATACAGCACTTTTTACATCCCCAATTAAATTATCCATCATTTTAAGCAGTGAAAATCTGCTGTCATCAATGCCTGAGTTTTACCTCCTCTACTCTGAAGTTATGTCAACATAGCGAGATTCAGGGACTACTTACCATTCCCTGCATATAGTATATTGGGAACCCTGACTCTAACACACTATGCTAACTAGAGGTCAAGATGCGTGCTTGTAAATGGGTATCAGGGTAAGGGCAGAAGTCAAGCTGTGCCTTGAGCTAACGCTTCAGTGGAGACACCTTCAGTCTCAGAAACTAAATAGATATGGAAATGACATAGGGCACTGCTTGCATGTTTTACCCAGAGGCCAGTGGGGCTAGCCTGGGTTACTTTAGCTTTCCCCACATTCAATTCTGACATATTTTAATTCTTCAAATATCCAGCAGCAATAGGAAAGGTGCCTAAAAACCGTGATCGCATACATTCAGCAGCGTGCTCGTGAATCCATTTTCCTCATTAGCTTCCTGAAAGTATATTTTCTTTTAAACTAAAAATTTGTGCTGATGGTGTTCAGGTGCAGATATAAAAGACTTTGTTAAACATCATTTTTATTTGACTAGCCAGACTCAAAATATAAATTACCATGTGGGATTACATGATTAATTAAGGGTCTACTGAAGAGACAATCTACAAGATTTAGGTCCAGCCAGACACTGTTGGCTGGAATGGTATTCTGAATTATTCTTTTGCATAATTTGATATTCTATAAATCCTTAATTGTTCTCATATTTTACTTTATATGGGGAAAGACATTTAAATAAGCCTGGTATGACCAGTATATTGACTGCTTAGGTCTGCCTCACCAGTGATTGACCTTTTTTGTGATTTGAATGGTGTTACTCCTTGATTGGTGAGATTCTTGAACCTTACCTCAGACACAGTACAGTCTACTGTATTTTTCCCTAAGAAAACTTTATTGCAACAAACTAAAGAAAATTGCCACAAAGTCTTCCTTTGAAATTGTGTTAATATTTATAAAGATTTTACAAACCTGTGCGTTACATACTACAAACTTTGAAATAAAATGGAAATAAGAATACACCGATGGTGCACCTAATCCTGCATCTCCAAACCAGGATTCAATATAGGGTGCTGCAGAGAAAGCTGTAAAGAATTAACCATGTACTTAGTTTTGCAAAAGTATCATACCATATCACGAACCCAAAAGCAATTGATCATTCTTTTATACATTAGACACATGAGGTTTAGTTATTCTTATTGTATATTAGCTAGCAATCGATTATATTTACAGAAGCATCTACACTTTGAAAAAAAACCCTAAACAATTGGCCTTACAGAATAGTAGACTAAATCAGAGACATGTAAGCTTTCGTAAGTAATGACCTCATCAGATACTATTAAGGCAATGGTTCTCAGCCTTTTTAAGCTCCAGCACACCTAGGAAAATGCCAAGTCTTAGTATTAACTCCCTACCCCACTTTGTTTTTGAGTGCAAAAAAATAATAGACCAGTTTTTCTATTGCAAAGAACTCAGAAACACCACAACTATGGATTTCTATTTGAAATCTCTGCGCTTAGCTTGTGAATCACATTTGCACACCTAACAGTGCTAACATTGTGTCACACACTGCAGCACCCTTGAAAGGAACCCCAGGGTACTGTGGCACACTGATTATCAATTACTGCATTAAGGGATTTTCATATTGTCTTATGAAGTAAGCTACTGCTTATGAAAGCTTACACATGATTTAGTCAGTCTATAAGGTGCAAATCTACTCTACCTTGTGCTTGATTTCAGATTAACATGGCTAACTACCTCTCTTACAATTTACAAGTTAATTCCACAGATAAATTATTTATTTCATATTAGATCAATTTCTTTTCTTCTTTTAAAATTTAGTGCTTTTAGCTTCATCAAGCAACTTCCCACTTTTGTATTGTAGGACTGTACAAAAAGGGATCTCCCAACAGCTTTTTCACAACATTCACTTTATAGCTCTTATTCATATATCTTCTTATCCATTTCCTTTCCAAAACTCTAAATGTTTTTCACCTCTCCTCTTATCAACCTTTCCCCAGCTCTCTACAGTCTCCTTATGGAACTTTAAGGCTTGTTTTCTATTCAGTTGAAGTCTTTCTTTTCCTGTAAAGGAGCTCCCCTCAGACTTCTTGACTCTCCAGATATCATAGTATCTGTAGTCTCCAAATACTCTCTAGTTAGTCATTTCTCTCACATTCTGCTTTGTAGCAGAATAGCTATTTATAATAGGATGGCTTTGTATTGCTGCATGGCTAGATCCCTCCAAGCAAGGACAGATTCCTTTTTAAGATCCTGATTTAATTTAATTGACTGGTTTCTACTCCAGCTGTTAAATAACAGCAAGGGGTTTCTTCACACACATCCTTACCTGTTTTTACCAGTGGGCCCTTGTTTACTGCCCTGCTCCTGTGATAACCATTTATATATTTCAAATAGGTTACTTTCTATAGCAATGAAAGTTTGATTATACATTTGTGACAGTTAAAAAACTACTTAAAAGAAAGAGAGACCCAAACAGAAGAAACCCCACCAAACAGTTAATATGAACACACAACATTAAAAACCCAAATTCATAAAGAGTTAAATTTTACCTTATGAGCTTACCTTGAATAACATGAGAGTTATCCTTCAAAAAGAAGTTATATAGGTACTTGGGAATAAAAGCTGACATGCAGGCATAGGCCAGAGCTAAAAGAAAATTGAGAAAAAAAAACCAAACTTGATGGAAAGAAAGAAGCATCTGTTCACTGGAAAATACTTATTACTTTAAAATATATATATTCACACCCTACAGGGCAACTGTACAAAATATACACAGAATGAGCATTTCTCTTTTAAAATGTTTTAAAAGCTACTCAAAAAAAATTCTGGCTTGTACCAATTATCCAATGAACAAATCAAGCAATGAAATTCTTTACATATTAATTTTTGAGATGCAGAAAATGAATGTGGCACTTCAGAATGACTAGAAGTTATATGGCCCTTTTTGCCAGAGGCATTGTCTAAACATGTATGGTCACATTCTGTCTACCTAAAATTTGCTTGTTTCAACTGGAAGTGACTTTCTGTGGGAAGAATTCTTCAGAGGGGAAGGACAATTCTGGCCTCAAGACATTAGTTTGATTCCCAGCTCTGGTACAGTTTTTTTTTAACAGGCAAGTCAGTTAATAGCTGTAATTTAGTTTCCACCTTCTCTTAACCCCCTTTTTTCTGTCTCTTCTCGTTAGACTTTGTTAGTCTCTCCTAAGATTCTTATTCCACCCTCAGCATTGTATTATCTAAGCACCTTCCAATAGAGCAGTACATTATGTGACTAATGCATCCTATGTGGTTTGTTCATTTTCTTTTTAAATGGTAGCTGTGGACCCAAAAATTGCTAGGATCAAACAAATCTCTTTTTACTACTACTACTTTATTATTTTTACTGCGCAACATCAAAAATTGCTTCTGATTTGTTTCTTTGGTCAATATGCAAGGAAATGCCCAAGAAGTACGAATAAATGTTGTGATGTCTGCGTCAGTGAAGCTCATAACCTCCAGACAAGCAGAATATGCAAATAAATACAACAACTATCATGGAAGAATCCAAAGTAGCAGTGGTAAAAGAAACACATTAAGACTATGAACCACAAGACAAAGCAGGGCTGTTTGAGGCTTTGGCAGGTTATTAGATTCGGAGGAGATCTGGCCCGATTTAGTGACCGAATCTCTGAATCCGAATCAAATCAGGAGACCAAATAAAAGGTCTGAATTGATTCGGAAAAGATTTGGTGCCACTTTGGAGATTCGGCCATAGACTAAACAGGCAGCAGTCCTCATCACACTGGACACAGCTGCCTCCAACTGGTAAGTCTGTAGTGGGCGGAAGGGGGAAGAGAGCGTGGGGGAGGGAGGAATTGGGGCTGGGACAAGCTGCCCAGCCAGGGCAGTAGGGCACGGGATGAGCGATGTAGGCACAACTTGCTCCGGGTGGAAGGGGGCAAGTGGCAGCAGGGCATAGCCCGGGGTCTGAGCGCTGCTGTGCCCACATCCCACAACCTGCCCCCCCCCACCCCCCCTCTGGCCAGGCAGCTTGCCCCAGCCCCAATCCCTCCCTCCCTCCCCACATCCCTTTCCTTCCCCCACCCAACAGACTTACCAGCTGGAGGCAGCCGAGTCCAATGTGGCAAGGACTGCTGCCTGTTTAGTCTGTGGCTGAATCTCTGAAGCAGCACTGAATCTTTGGGTCTGATTTGGCCGAATCGAATCAGAACAGTGATTCAAATCTCCAAATTAAATCACTGTCCCTCTAAATCAGCCGAATCTGAAACGAATAATTGCTGCTTCACACAGGCCTAGTAAATAACACCAAGTCAGCAGACAAAGTAGTGACAGTCCCCATAAAAATCAAGACTTCTTTTCAAGAGACTTCTGTTATTAGGATTCAGATTAAGCTACCTAGCTTTCACTTCATCTGAGAACCTAAAATCCAGAGAGTAGCATTAGCATTTTGACAGCCCAAATAGATTTTTCTCATATATCTATCACAAGCACCTCACGTACTCATTGAATGAAAGGGGTTAAGCAGTGGAAACCAAAGCATTCACAGATGGAGTTTGGATAACATCTTTCTAAGGAAATAAAAGCCACTGTAGCAGAATTGTCATCAGTTCCAACAGATCTCGTGTGTTAAAAAAACACCAAAAATGAAGCGACAGGAAAAAATATACATTTATAGTGAGAAAATATTGAATGTTACAGTTCATATAAATGAAGTCTCTTACTTTGAAATACAAGTTTCTTTACCAGTACTTTTAAAGACATGCAAATAAAACAAAACAAAAAACCCCCAAACACAAATATACAGTTATATTAATAAAAAATTAGGAAAGTCTACAAAGTCAGAACACACCGACTTTATGCAAAAGCTCTAAGACTTAATGTGTCTGATGGGAGTCACAACCATGAAAAGCCTAATCCCTTACTCACATCATACTTAAGGCTGGAACAAAATGCTAATAAAAACTAACCAGAATATTGAAACTCTGTCCAATTCTAAGAATTCAGTGCCAGCACACATGAAAACCACTTCTAAAGCCAAGCTAACAAAGGGACAGGAAACAAGACGATCAACTCAGTTTTACCAAAAATGTGGCCATGAGGAGTCACACTTTTAGCTTCTTTCCTCCCTTGGAGATCTCAGAACAGTAGAGTCTCCCAATGCCTGAAGAAGGGTGCTTGTGTTCGAAAGCTTGCAAAGAACTTTATTTCCCCAACTACTCGGTATCTTCATACAAGAGCAGATGTAGATAGTAATGAAAAGGCTACTAGCAGTTTGAGTAAAGTATTATACCTAGAAGCAGATTCTACCACTTTGTTGCCAAAGAAGACTATAAAGCATCCTCCCCAAAATTTCAACACAGTGAAATTTTTAGCATTTGCAATTAGGAACTTGGTGCTGTATGTTGGAAATGATGGTAACAGTGGACGCAACTAATTAGCTCTGCAGTAAAGTGCCACCATCTACATGTGTGCCAATATTAGGATGCAATAATTAATTAATTCTGCCACAGAATAATATTGCCTGGGACAAGTACTATCCTATGGCAGAGTAATTTATGCTACCGCAATGCACATGCGGATGGTGAACGGGGCTGGTTGAGGCACAAGGGTCCTATGATACAGGGGCTGCCTGCTGGCTAGTCCCACACTGTAGCACCCTCATGCTCCAGCCAGCACCTCTGCTCCCTGATGCTGCTAACCAAAGCCTGGGGCTCACCCCTTGGATCCTCTGCCAGCCCAGGGCTGCTCCACCTGGCTCAATGTGCTGAGGTCTTGGGTGCACGTGTAAATGCTATGTCCAGGAGAAAGACTCCAGTGCAAACTGTACCAGATTTTATTTCTTCCTAATTGCCCATTTAGATATACCCTCCGGCTTCAAAGTTCCTTTGATGTTATGTCACTAGAACTCCACCTATTGCTTATTTGCACATGTGTGCACACACACATAATAAGTTATACACATATTCTAAAGATACTTACCTTCACTGTTAAAATTCAAGTACAGGAATGGTGCACAAAGAGAATCTAGACCTAAGGGGAGGAAAAGTGCCAAGAAAGTATGAAAAACTGAACACTCATTGAATATGACATAAGACAAACATATGACTTGCATATTTAAGACCCTTACAATGTTAGCATTAGTTATGTATGCAGAGAATAGTCATGAAACAATGGTATGAAAATAAATATAAATAATTTAAATGGGTTAAATTGTACTAATAGGGAGATTGCGCTAATTTCTCAGTTGCGTGTCTGTTTCTAAAAATGCTCCAGCATATTATACTCAAAATATTAACACTGCACAGAAGTCACTGAAGTTAACATTGAGCTGAGTAGCATTAGTCAATGACAACTTTTAAAAACAAAGTGAATAAAAATAAAAGGAGTGAAAAAATGCAAAAGAATGAATCAATTTCTGTGGGGAAAAAGGGACAGAATTTACATTACAAACAGAATGGGAAGCATAAGAATCTTGCATTTTCAATAATGTACGGATGGAATCTCCTGAAATTTCTACACTAACAGCTGCAAATGAATAATTAAATCCAATTTTAAAGTCTATTAAAAAAGAAATGAAGAGCAAAGGCAAGCTAAAGGGCCCCCGCTCTATACAGGAAGTAACTGTATTTTAGAAAGTCTTTACTTTGAATACTTCCCAGATAAACAACCAACCTATTTACTTACAAGTTGAACTTACCTTGCCAGTACACAAGATCAGGATGGGATACAACCCATGCCTTCAATACACGTCTAAATTTTGCATGGCCCTCTGGTGATGACAGCAACTCATCATACTGATGACATCGAGGAATATCAACTTCAATCTGCAACACAGGAGGAAAGCAGGAGGAAGAAGTCAGAACAGGGGTGGCCCCACAGCAATACCACAACAATGAAAGTAGGGGAAAGTAGTGGAATATAGCCAATACATTTACGTTGGGCCACCATGAAATCACAAGTCTTTTCTTCCCTCAACTTAAAAAGACATGCTGTGTGGGGAAATGCCATTTACCTGCACTTTATGTTCATGAAAGACAGCCCTGGTCTCTTAAGTGAATTTTAGCGGCACCAGTTTCTGGCTTAGCTTTCAAGTCATATCTTCTTGGGTGTTAAAATCATTTTCCTTTAAATGTTAAAGTAAGAATTCTCAGGACAGACTCAGTTCAATAAAAAAAATTATATTCCTTTGGCTAGATGAAAAGAGCAGATGTTACTAGTAACGTCTGTTCACCATTTGGCACTATACATTTCTGTGAAGAACTATATCCTTTGAGCTTCTGTTGAAGCTGATGGGATTTTGGGATGCTGTCATACAGCATCCAGATCCAAGTTGCAGAGTATTTCCTTTTTTCTATTTAGTATCCCTTTGCTAGATTCTGACATCTGTTTATTTTTACTTTAAAAGCAATCAACCCAAATACAAGGTTGCATTTTATGAATGCTATATTATAAATTTGTGTTAACTAGTTTCTTGCAGGTCTTGCAACATTATACTCTAGTCTATATAACTACAAAACCCCCTCAAAGTTCAATTATGATCAGCAGCATCAGTTGCAGTAAAAGAGTAGAACAGTTAACATCATTTTTGAAGTGGAGGAAATGTCTTGCATTATATTGAGACAGCACTTGAAAATAAACACAGCTTACTTGTCGATCTGTAGGAATTGGAGTGTCCTTATCAACAGCATCATACCTTGCTTGAATGGCACCCTACAAATAGAAGAATATTTTAAAGAAACAGAAAGCCTTCAGGTTAAATACTAATGCATTTCACTGCACATATACCAACAGAAATGAGGCTAAAGTATAAAGTTACAGCTTTTTCCAGTTACACTAGCCAGAAGAATGTAGTTAGTTAATAAGGTATGGACACTAAATACTTCATAATTCAATAAATCCCAGCTATAAGACTGCGTTAGCATTATCATCTTTTGTCTGTTATATTCCAAACCATTTGCTTGTGCTTTCTATGACACTAGCCTGAGATGTAGCAGTTCTCTTGTGTTTAAGATGCACGTTTCATCTCAGGTGGCTGTTTGGGATCAGCTCATAAAATTGGCCACACTTTTGATCCAGTGTTTGATTTGCAAGATTTAAGATAGCCATATCATGGGCCTCCAATCTGATGTTGAGATATACCATCATAAAAGAAATAGCCTCCCAACATGCTCTTCAATAAGAAGCTGACAGACTTCAGATGCTGGCTTGTCAGGTGACATCTATCATTCTTGGGTGCATATAGACAGACTCAAAACAGTATTTTGATTCTTGTGACAACACTGTGGAAAGAGCAGCAGCATCTATCCAGTAGATCTATCCGGCCCTGAACATGCCCCATCCACCTGTTCCAAGTCTGGACAGACACTGGTGAAGATGCTCCAAGTCATGACAAACACTGTTTGCGAGCGTGCTGAAGTCTTAAGTCTTGAGAACGGTTGTTGGGGACAACCCTGAATATCTTCACTGGGGTATTTCCAGATTGATTCCTGAGTCAATGTGCCCAGAGGCACAGCATAATCAGGCAGAACCAACCCAGGACATGCTGCTGTTGCCACGGTGTAGACACACTCCAAGTAACTTGCAAGAGGAAGGAATCAGTCTCTTGTATCCCAGGATAGTAGTCTAACCACTGATGCATTCTTCTTGCCCTGATCATGCTACATTGGTAATCGGTTATCTGCACCAACTGACAACTAGCCTGACATAACTACACTAAGCACTTGGATACGTGCAAAAAAGGTGAATCCGCTGCAAAAACGTTCTTGTTTCAAACCATAACACCACAGGCAATGTGTGGATAATTACATGCAATGTAATAGGGAGCCTCTCTGACTCCCAGCATCCCAGAGTCCTTCACTCTCCAGAGAAAGATGGGCTCAAGGACAGGCAGTCCCAAATCAATTAGGCCTTGGTAACATTCATTTGTACTACCACAAGGTGTTTCTGCATTGTACCAGCCTCCACAGGACTCTGTTCAGGGTGGGTAAAAAAATCAATGACTAAAAAAAACCAGACAAACAAACAGGTTTTTTTATTTAGTTGTATTATTTAGTTTTTTTGGTTAAGATGCTTTTTAAAAAAAATTAAATCTATATAAAGATAGTTTTAATGCAAGATATGTTAAAGCTCAAAGACATCATCATGGAACAGGGATTATTTAATTATATACTATTTAAGACTATAGATGCATGTAACCTTTTTAGAAAAGATTTATAAATAGGTCAAAACAGGCCATGGATTATATTAGGGACCCAATCTTATGGGGTTCCCAGAGGCTCCCCTAAAGATCACTAAAGATTAAACACAACCACTCTACCTAATGGGACTTCGTGCTCAGTCTAGAATATCCCATTAAGCATCTCTGTGATGCTTAATTTTGGTCCTCAAACTGGATTTCTGTCTCCAGAGATAACATCCTTGTTAACAGCAGTATATACAGATAAGAGACAACAGACCTGATTAACATCAGCCTTATTGCCTCTTTGCAAGGTTGTGTGCAGAATCAAAGTAAATATCCAACATACATAAGGTTGTTGTTTTCGTTAAATAAAACAATTTAAACGTCTGTTGTTTTTGGTAGACAAGGTTCTTTGGATAAATCTGATATTTTTTATTAGACCAACTCAAATAGCTGTAAAAATTCTTCTTAGCAAGCTTTTGGGTTTAACCTTCATACGTTCCCATGTGGTAATTTCCTACCCCAGAAGCACATTTTGTGCAGTATCTTTACGTTAATTCATTCTAAAAAAATTTCTTTTTAAGACACTGTCACTGGCACTGCAGTGCACAATATTCCCAAAGAACAGCCAGCTTACATGAGTGGTTTGCTCTCTATGGATGAAAAACTGACCAGGGTAACATGTTACCCCAGGTGTAAATGTGTTTACCATATGGGGTAACAATTTACCCCAAGCCCATGTTAACACATTGGGGTAACTTGTTAAAGTTTAACCCATGTTTCAAAATCATACATCTACCCACGGAAACCAATTTACAACAGCAGTTAGGGTTTCAGCTTTTAGTTAAGCAGGAAAGGGAGGGCAAGTCAGCTGATGATTAGGTTCTGTCCCTGTTCTATGAATGTATAAATCTTGAAAAATCTCTCTTCACTCTGCCTTTCAAATTTTATTCCAGCGCATGTTGTACGAAAGAAAAATACAGTATTGTATCGTACTAAATAGTGCAAACTGTACCTACCTAATTATCAACCGTCTCCCATCACCCCTCTCCCCAAATATTTTTAGTTAGTGTGAATTTTATTTATATTTCTTACCTCAACCCCCAGGAGGGCAGCCCAGGTTAAACCTCTCAGAAGTGGAGGAATGTCAACCCTGGCTTCTTTCCAGATTTGATTTTTTTTGTATGGATAGGCCTGCAAAAACATCACTTTCTTAAAAGCAAAGAAAAGCCTTCTTTTCATAAAAGCTCCTGTGCCGCTAAACACACACATAGAATAGCTGCCCTTCTAGATGAAAGATGTTTAACCTTGGACCCCTTCTACATGTTACATTTAATGTGGCAGCTTAGGGTTTTGACAATCAACTGATTGGTGGCCCCAGCTTGGACAGCCCTGGGTCTCAAATGTGGGGCTATCTGAGCTGGGACCGACAATCAGGTCACTGTCTGCCCAGAGAGTCCCAATGAAACAGATGTGGGGCTGACAATAAACTGGCTATTGGCCTCATCACCACAGTTGGGTCTCAGATGGGCCCCAGCACAGTCCTGAGGGCAACAATCAGCTGATCGTCAGCCCCAGACCACACAGGACTGATTAAAGACCCTGGTGCAATGTGGGGTTGAAGCTGACAATCAGCTAATTGTCAACCCCATCAGGACACTCATCTTCCAAGTTGCTGGTGCAGGAGAATGGGATCGTGATCCTGGGCTCCACTTACATTGGCAAGTACATGTGGCATGGCAAGAGGTACAACTGTTAGCATCAAGGATTAGATCCTATTATGCCTTTAAATTAATGTGTGCCAGGCCCTAGCCTGCCTTTCCTACTCTAGACCAACATCCATGCATTGGAAGCAGAAGACTTTTTAATCATGTTTCTTTATATTTGAAAGATTTAAAAGTAAGTTTTGTGTTTTCATAGTTTATAATTTCATCTTCATCGAGTATTCGCTTTAATGGTATAACCGATCAATTATTTTTTTAAATATCTTGGTTCATTTTGCACGAGAAACCAAATAAGACTTGTCTGTTGTGTGCCTCCTTACACAGTCATCTCTTGTGAAATCATTTGGCTGGGAAAGTTCAAAATGCCTTGTCCTAAATATACATAAACTTCTTTTTTGGACAGTGCAACCAGAGTACTAATACATAATGCTTGACAACAAGAAAAGTCTCACAACTTGGAAAGTGCAATGCAAGAAGCATCACCAGACTGTTTATTTCTACACCACTCATATCTGTTTCTGTAGTCAGGTCTAGCATATAGCTGTTACAAATGAGAGGTGTAGCATCCATCTGAGTAAACTCCAATTCTTACTCTTCTTTGTTTTGGCTGTTACTAGAGGCTTCTCCATTTCTTCCCATTTCTCCTATGCTTATTTCCTGTAATCTCAGATGCAGTTCTCTTCCCTTTTCTTCCTACCTTCTCTCCAATCTCTGATTAGCTGAGGGGCTCGCCCAGCCTCCAGAGCACATGGGACTCTGTGTGCTCAATGAAGTCTATATGTTCCAGAGATTGGGCACAGGCTACACATGTACAGCAGGAGGAAAGATTGTGGGATCTCACCTAAGATCTCAACCTGGACTCCCCATGAGCCAGCAGGTAGCAAAGCTTAGCTCCCTGCATACCCCCAGCTGGGAGGTCCAATCATCTCACTAGGGTTCCCAGGCAGGACAGCATATGGTGCTTTCCTGTGACAGAGCTCTGATCCGTTTAACTGAGCTTCCAGCTGGGGAAGGACATGGTGTACTCCCCCAGCTGGGATCCCTGATCATCTGAGGTGTGCTTGATAGGACAGTGTAGTGCTGGGACTGACAATCAACTCACTGTCAGCCCTGGGTCTGGTTCACTGGGTCTGTCTGGGGAACCATCAGCTTTTCTAGATGTCAGGTACTATTTATCAGTACTGTGTTGGCAATGTCAAAAGAAAGAGGTTTGTGGATATTTAGGGCGTCTCAGCCAAATGATTACACAAGAGATAACTGTGTAAGGAGACACACAAATGGTTATATGCAATAACTGTGGCCAGTTTCCATCACACCTTTAATTGAACATGTGGACAGTGTCTAGCCTCTAGAGCACACAGAAGTGTTTTAAGACTCCCATGTGCTCCAGAGTCTGGGATAATAGACTAAATCCACTTATCTATTCAATTAATGGAAACCAAAACTACCCCAGTATGATTAAGATTCCATACCTTCAGTAACCTGTCAAAAAGGATGATTCTGTTTAGCTGGTACTCCGTGTCCCTCTCTCGAATGATCAGAGGAAGATTGGCAGCTGCAGACAGCTCATTGTTACTATTTGAATGAGGTAAATTTGACTGGCTGGAAAAGAATGGGAAAAACAGTAGTAAAGAGCAACTAAACAGCCTTAATTGTAAAAAATTACAGCCTGGAAATGTTGTTATGTTGGAAGCTGGGGCGGAGTGTTGTAGCCATGATAATCTAGGAATATGCAAGAAACAAGGGTTGTTGGTAAAAATGCTTGAGAACATGTGTAATGCCTCTTCCCAATTATAAAGTTAGCCCAATAAAAGATGTCAATAAAAGAACCGTACTTCTCTTTATGCTGGAAGACAATTAGGAAAGTTGTTTCCATGTATGGAACAGTAACTCTGTATTCAGTGCTGTACTGTGAGGACCACAGATTTTCAAAATACTTAACTAAAGTTAAACTTGTAAATTTAACCACCTTCAAGTCTACCTATTTTCAAAAAGCATTCAGAAGCATTCACCTACATCAGAAGCCTAAATAAGGATGCAGGGTATTAGCATTATATTTCTAATTTTGGAAAATCTTGGTCCGAATATGTACCGTGCAACTATAATAGTAAAAAATAACTAATAAAATTTGATTACATATACTTACTCATCTTCAAGCAGTGGATAAAATGCTTCTCCACCCACATCTTTTAGCCTCTGTGCAGTTTGGAAAAAAGAATTTAAAAAAGTTTTAACATGAGAACATTCCTTGGTATTTTAAATGGAAAATGTACAAAGAAATACACAAAGCAATTTTTAAAATCTTGACTGGTGTTTGACTAGATATTAAGTTAATTGTGATAAGGGACAAAAGAAGGAAGATTTACCCTTAGATGGCAGCATTAATGCATAAATATTTAATATTTTATATTCTACTGAGTGAATGGAATCTCTCTCTACAAATTTAATCAATTCTAAAAATTATTCCCACCTTATCTATATACCCCCTACTTTTCCTACAAGGACTTTTGATTCATATAGCTGCAAACCAAAGTGAAAGAATTTGGTTCTGCTTTTCTAATCAAGACATGCTATGCTAATTACTTCACTTTTCATAAAGACATCTGAGAGCAAGTCAGTTATATAAACATTCCCTGTGAAGATGACAGGCAAGCAAGACAGAACTTAATGCCTGGAGTGTATGGACATCTTCAGTGCAGGGTGATTAAAGTTTAATTCCATCTTCCCAACAGTGCTCTCTTTTGCAGTACAATCCCTAACCTAGAGGTAGAGTACCATCTCTTCTGGGGACTGACGGAGCAGATCAGACTCTCAGTTCATTCAGCACTGATCCTTTTTTGATTACCATCATTGTGCTCTTTGCCACAAGGAGTGTTTGAAGGATTCCCTGAAGTGTGATTAAACGCCTCCCCCTCCCTGCAAACTGCATAAATTGGACTAGGAAACTGGAAAGACTCAGAGCTTTCTCTTTGTACAGATAGTAGCCTGTGCTAGTTATACTTAATTCAGTGTGGTTTTCTAACAATATGAAACAGAACTATTACTGAGCTTGGGGAGATTTTTGACATAGTTTTAGACTAGACTGCTTAATTGTCACAAATTCCATCTTAAGACTTGTAACAAACAATAGGAAACTTTGCTGCAAGACATTTAAAGTGGGTCGATTTTTTATTTTGGATATTCAGGAATTTCTACAGAGAGAAAGGTGGACTTGTTAAAGAAACACTGCCTGAACCAAAAAGGTAGAACGTTCTATTTCTATAATTAAATTTAGCACTGAATGTTACACTTATTCTCATAAAACAGCTGTTACATCAAAACAAAACTGAGCAGTACAAATTTCATTTCACACAAAGAAGTTGATATATTTTGTCCATGTAAACTTATTTCCATTAAATAAATAAATAAAAATCAGAATCTGTGTGTCTGAGTCCTCTCGGAGTCAGCAGCAGTGCCCAAAGGAGTTTTGAAGGACAACACTGATTTTATTTTTGCTATATGGTAGGGCTGTGCAAAATTTTGACAGCTGTTTCGTTTCGGAGGTATTTCAGCCCGTTTCGGCGCCCAAAACACCAAATCCAAAATGAAATGAAAGGCTCCGAAACATTTCTGAAACGTTTTGGAGGTGCCACCCCAGAACAGTCCGGCACAGCCCCACAGCCCTCCTTTTAAAGTGCCAGGAGGCTGGGGCCAGGCAGGGCAGTCTTGGGGGCTTCTCCCATGTCTCCTCCTACCATGGCAGAGGCAGGCACAGCTGGAGGAGCTGCGGGAGAACCTGCAGCCACCTGGGTGTGCCTGCCCCTCCCTGGCCAATCCAAATCTCCGAATCAGTGCCGAAACAGCATCAAAACTCTGAAACAGATTTGGCTGAACTGAAATGAAAGAGTGATCCAAAACACGAAAATGAATCACTGTGCTCTGAAATGGTCAAAACCGAAACGAAACATAGCCCTACTATTTGGGAATATAAAAACATAGTTACTGCAGCTGGAACACAAGCACTTAGCAATAGCTTTTTCTTACATTTCTCAGTTGGTACAGTGACAGTGTCACAGTTGTGTCATCAAGAAGGGAACTTCTATCTCGTCCTTGTCCAAAACTCTCACCATCCTCCAACAAAAAGCTTTGAAGAGAGAAAAACCCAAATCCTAGTTATTTTAAAACAAAATATTTAGCTCAAAAGAACAAAGTTTGATGTCAATCCAATTGGTATTTTCTTTTTAAGAAGAAACAAATGCTGAAATTACACTGTATTGTCTCCCGACTACAAAGCCAGCTACCAAGGGGATGTGCAATACTTTGAAATGCTGAAAAAGTTCCAAATGAAATAGCCACGTCAGGTTTTTTAATGTGTACAATCTATAGCTTCTTATCCAAGACAACATATCTGAGGGTTACCAGGCAATGAGGAGGAAAGAGAAATGCCACTGTCAGCCAAAAGCTGAAAATCAACAATGACAATGACAGACATGATGGGAACCTTGTCCATTCCTCCTCAGTTACAGATGACAGCTGTGACAGTATTTGGCAGGCTATTTGCACTCTGTGTCTATGGCAGATTAAGCCCTCAGAACTACAAATAAATCCAAAAAGAAGTAAACACAAACAGTCCATGGAAGGGAATGTTCTTGACACAGAAAGTTTCTAGAAAGGAAACTAAAGGATCATATTCTGTTGCTGCTTCAGGCAAAGAAATTATATGGCAGTAGGTAACTGATAAGCATTCACTAAAACTTCAACCCATTACACCATTCACAAAGCTCAAGGCTAAACTTTGCTCCCTTTTGTTTAGCAAAGAAAATATGGTGTTGGTTATTCACCGTTGATTTAGTATATTATTTAACTATCAGAAGGTACAATCTGATCTTCACCACTGCAGTAGTCTTCATATACTAAGATCAGACTGCAGGACAGAGTTGGAGTGTGTAGTAAAAATTTCAACAGGACTGCAGTAACAATGCATTTAATTATTTCACCGCTTGGAAAGTTCTTAAACCATGTAGCATCTGTACAAAATAAAACCATTTTTTAATGAAAAATGGAATGGCTTGATGTGTTGGATACAACGAGTTGAATGTATTTTGTAAATGTATGTAGTATTTGCATTTAGTATTTTTAAGATGTACTGCATTGCATATCAAAAGCACATTTTAGTGAGTAATGTTATATCATAATTTAATGCTATGGCACATTAATGAACCTGCAGATTTTATTATAGGGTGGTATCTTTCC